AAAGAAGAGAAGAGAGAAACGTGATATATAAAGAGTGATATTTTAACGTTGACGTCTATAGTAGCGCATGGATCATCAGTTGGCTCAACTCTTTTCAATTCCATATGAAGAAGCACCCAAGAGGATAGCTAGGCCAAGCGCCTCAGTCCTTCAACCATATATACCACATATATTATATCAAACATATACAAATCATAACACTAACCCATCTATAATAATCATTCTAATCCTTTGAATGAAAAGAGTATAATGCATCATGTAAAACTTTAAAGTCAACTTACCAATAATAACATACCTAAACTAAACAATTCTAACTAAAATCCTTTAATTCCTTTATTGGAACCCAATAATTCAAGAACCAAATAATAACCATAATCAAAAATAATTTTATAATAGTTTAATAAGCAAGTTACAAATATATATAAAAGTACAATGTAAAATTAACTTGTTTGAAATATCGTTTCACCTTCCTTTCTAGACGATCGACTATTGAAATATAACTTTTCCTTCTTCTCTAGGCAATTCCTCGGTCACCGTCTTTTCTTATGGCTACTATAGACGTCAATGTTAAAATATCACTCTCTATATATCACGCTTCTCTCTTCTTTTCTTTATTTCTTTTTTAACAAAATATCCTTCCTTAAAAAACTGAATTGGATAAATTATGATGAGAATGAAATATCATACAATTGAGATACATAAGGAGTCTTATTTTAAATTTGAAATTAAAGATAACCACTTTATCTCTAATATACCATTTAAAATGAACTTGATATATATATATATATATATATATATATATATATATATATAGAAATTGCGGGTATTACATCCTACCCTCCTAGAAAGAAATTTCGACCTCGAAATTTGTATAATTTACTTGAAGAGATGCGGGTATTTTTCCTTCCTTTCAGACTTTAGCTCCCAAGTAGCCTCTCTCTCTCTCTCTCATAGTGATGATTCCACTATACATTCACTAAAGGTATCTTTGTCCGCCTCAATTGTTTCACCATACGGTTAACAATGCGAACATGTGTCTTAACATAGATTACATTAAGGTGCAACTGAACCTCCTTATAATCAATGGCCTGAGTCTCATCCCTCAAGCACCTCCTCAATATAAAGACATGGAAAACATTATGAACAGCTGATAGTATGGGTGGTAAAGCCAATCTATACGCTACTTCCCCTATCCTCTCTGTGATCTCAAAAGGTCCGATGAATCTAGGAGCTAGCTTCCCTTTCCTCATACCCAATCTCGTAACCCCCTTTATTGGTGAGACTTTCAAGAACACTAAGTCTCCCCCACTAAACTCCAAAGCTCGACAGTGTTGATCTGCATAACTCTTCTGTCTACTCTGAGTTGTTTGAAGTCGATCTCTAATGATGGCAACCTTTTTTGTAGTCTCATACACCAACTCTGACCCCAATAGACTACTATCACCAACCTTAAGCCAACATACAGGTGAATGACAAGGTTTATCATAAGGTGCCTTATACGATGCCATGCCAATACTAGCCTGATAGCCATTATTATAAGAAAACTTAATCAGTGAAATGTAAACCTCCCAACGACCCCAAAAAATATAACACACAAGCACGAAGCGTATTCTCGAACACCTGAATGACCCTCTTGGACTGGCCATCAGTCTGAAGATGAAAAGTAGTACTCAAACTCAAAGGAATACTGAAAGCTATATGAAAACTACTCTAAAACCGAGATGCAAAATGGGGATCACGATCTGAAACAATAGACACCGGCACTCCATGGAACTTGACTATATCTTTGATGTAAAGCGTACACAACACCTTTACGGAATCAGTAGCTCGAAGGGTAAAAAATATGCAGATTTAGTTAACCAATCCACTATCACCCACACAGTATCATGGTCATGTATCGACCTCAGTAACCCCACAACAAAACCCATCGTCACATGTTCCCATTTCCACTTAGGTATGGGTAAAAGTTGTAGTAGTCCTACTGGTTTCTAATTCTCAGCCTTTATTCACTGACAAGTGAGACATCTAGACACAAACTGTGCCACATCACATTTTATGCCTTCCCACCAGAACTGCCTCTTAAGATCATAATACATCTTAATGCCACCTGGATGCTTATATGTGGTGGTGTTATCTCCAATTGGTATGAGGCCTTTTAGAGTAAAGCCCAAGAGTAAAACCGCGCCGACTCAGGCCCAAAGCAGACATTATCATACCATATGGTGGAGTGGGTCGTTATAAATGGTATCAAAGCCTGACCCAACTAGAAGTATGCCGACGGGGACGTCGGGCCTCCAAAGCGATGGATTGTGATGACCCTTTAGGCTGGTGTGCCGTTGGGAGGTGCAAGACACTGGCAGACTACTACACTAGGTGAGTTACAGGTGCACAATCTCACATCTCCTGGGTAAGGAAAAGGTGATGTGCTTATATATGGTGGTGTTATCTCTAATTAGTATGAGGCCTTTTGGGGTAAAGCCCAAGAGTAAAACTGTGCGAACTCAGGCCTAAAGTGGACAATATCATACCATGTGGTGGAGTGGGTCATTACATAGGTTGCTTGTACTTTCCTAGAACAAATATCTGTATTTTTTTAGCTCCACAAACTAAAGAAATTATTCTAGTCCACATAACAAAGTCAAGGTTTTTCCCAGAATTGTCCCACTAGTTACTCCATTTTCTATGGTTGTTTCAATTATTAGATTGGAATACGGAACTCCTAATATTATTTTTATTTTAAATAGTGATTTAAGACCTAAATCATCAATTACCGAATTTAATTTATGTAAGAAGGATGGTGAGTCTCATCACATAACATTATGATGACATGATAAGGTAGACCCCACCACCCCATTTACATAAATTTAATTTGATATTTAATGAATTCGATTCTTAAATTATTATTCTTTCATTTTTCATTCCGATTAACTAATTGGATCAAATGAGCAAATTGTGTTTCAATAAATTTGAAGTCCATCTAGCAAGTCAAACTGGAGCTTTTTTTATATATATGAAAGTGTGTGGGGGGTACATTTGAACTATACTTGAGTAATGTATACTTGAGATAGAGTTTAAAATTTTAATTCATACCCACCCGAGTAAAAATAAGAGCTATCAACATCCATTAAATTGTTCATTTAGGTTGAAGAGCTTTAATTAGCTACCCAACGACCTAATAATGATATTATTTTGATGTTCAGATTCTCTGTTGTGGTGCATTCAACACATTTAAACCTTGATCCAACACATAACTTCTAGTTTGAAGTAATGTTATGAAAACAACTTAATTGAGTTAAAAAAGTGATTTTAACACCATTATTTCTAGTTTTAAATGCTTAAATTAGAAATAATAGTGTTGAAAAAAAATAACACAATTAAATTATATTTCCACACATTACTTTTAGCTTGACTTTAGCAATGCACTGCAGCAAAGGATCCTTTATAACAAGGATCCAAAGTCCAAACACATTATTTTGATGAAAGAAAAGTACTTGTAAGAATAGCATAAAAGTCTTCATTTCAAATAGAAAATAAGATTAATGTATTTTGTCAGCACCACAAAATTAAAGAAAATATCTGAACGAGATGACAAAGTCAAAATCATTGTCTGACTTGTCCCACTAGTTGGTTTTTCCATTTTGTACAGCTACTGTTCAATGGATATTTTGTTAACCCTATTTCAAATTTGAATTCTTATATATGTATTTTAAATTATGATCTTTTTGTTTCAACTTTTTTTAATATATATTTTTATTTATGAAATCTTAGTTTATTGTATATTTATATTATTATTTTCTTCTGGAAATCATTAGGTATTTTTACAATTTTTTTTTTTACTCAACAAGATCACTGGAAGACTAGAACTAGATGAGAAATGAAGTAAAAACCAATGACATAAAGACCGACCAACTGGGACGAACCAAGAATATAGGTGAGGGGGCAAGTATGATTTTTTTTAATAATTTTAAATGGGCAATAGTAATATTTTATAAGTATATAATGAAAAAAAGGAAATATATATAAAATAAAATAAAAAATTTGGGGGCTGGGGTAATTGCTCCCTGGCATCAATGTAAGTCACGGACGACCAATGTACCAACATGATCCAATAGGGATTGAAATATGGAACTTAATTAAAAAAGTAAATGTACACCTACCCGAGGACCCAAATTTACACAATATTACTGTCTTTTTTGCACTACTTTTTTTTTTTTTTTTGCCAATCACATTTTCATTGCCTCCATCAACCAATGGATAATAATCAATCTTATACAAAGCACAAAGGCTTTATTCAGTTATTGCATATTGGATTGGAATATGGAGTTATACAAAGCACAAAGGCTTTATTCAATTATTGCATATTGGATTGGAATATGAGCTTATACAAAGCACAAAGGCTTTACTCAAATTTCATGCTCTTTGTCCCACTGTTTGAGCTTGAACTCGACAACTCAATCGGTCGAGCACATTTACCTGTACGCTGATTGTTAACCTAAATTTCAAATGGCCATAATTCCTTCATTTCAAACCCAAATTGGGTCGTTCTTGTGTCTAATCTGACCGGCTTGAAGTTAGTTTTCCAATGATATCAATCTCATCCTCAAATTCCAATTATACCAAGAGTTATTGTTATTTTAGTAAAGAGGTGTAAGAGAATCCTTCAAACCAAGAGTGGGTAAGCGTGGAAACTGTACCTATGACCATTAAGAACTTATAAAATGGACTTAATTGGTTAATATGATGTTAGAGAGCCCCATTTGACTACTTATAGTCAGTTCTTCCTTATATTTTTCTTGAAATGATCATTTTATCCTTGGGTGTCCCCGGATCGGGTTACCCGAGTGTACACCAGCTACGTAATAATGGGATTATTTTGATGAAAGAAAGGTACCATTAAATAATTATTGAAAGGTCTTGATTTAAAATGGAAATAAAGAAAACGAAAATGACATGTAGGCCCACCAAGGACCCAAGTTTTCACAATGTTAGCTCCACAAATTAAAAGGAGGATTGTAGCCCACATAATGAAGTCAAGGTCGTCCATGCTCCCACTAGTAATACAGAGTTCACGCCTCTTTTTTTTCATTTTTATTTCTAATTTCATTTTTCATATCCACCAAACAAAGCTTTCTCCATAAGACTGTTAACTGATTTTATCAAAGGAGCAAATGGTGTTTCAACAATTTACTTCTAGCTTGAAAAAGAAATGCGTCTTCATCATTATTGTTCTCTTTGTTCCGTATTGATGAGGTTAGTCACATATTTTTTTTTTTTTCTATTTTTTCTTATTATAAATTTCGTCTCTTACAATATTAAGCACTTTAAAATCATTAGTGGTATTTAGCATGTAGATGATCATTTATAGTTGTAACGACCCGAACCCGTAGGTCCAAACCGTTAGCCGAGTCCTTAACCGAATCCGAGGTCAACTAGGGACAACACCATTCTTTCCTAGGTCAATACATATTATACGTGTCATTCCGTGTTTATAAAAAAAAATAAGTAATAATAAATAAATAAATAATAATAATAAAATGGGATTATAGCTACAAAGTATGTCAAAACGGTCTATTAACCCTCTGAACCCTGTGGAGGAGCGTCGTCCGCCACTTGTCATCCGTGTCTTGAAAATTAAATATAAGGGGTGAGCAAATTACTCAATAAGTTGTGCCTAAGACACACCTCTTGTAACCCCGTGAATCTAAATAATGAATAGGAACAGAGGGTAGGAGTCATACTATGCCGGGAAAGAATACATCATTAATTCCAATTCCAAAATAACAATGTCGAGCCTTGATATGTGATGCCATGAATGTCACTCCCCATTTTCAAAATCTAAATCCATCACTTTTCAAACTGTTAATATAACCCGTCCGTTGGTGACTCCGCAGCGACACGAGGAAAGGATTGGCTACTGTCCCTGACCCTTGGTACCCCGTGGCATCATTTGGGGGCCAGATAGCTCAACTACGCTAAGGTGTTTCCCTAGTTCCCTCTAGGTTATATCAACACCATAGCCCTTTGGTAACTCCGTGGTGACCAGGCTTTTCACAAAACCATTTCATCAAATCTTTTTCCCAAAAATCCCCTTTTTCCATTTCAAAACAATTCTTTCCCTTTTTCCTTGCCCAATGCTATGCATGAATGCATCATGCTTTTCAATAATATCATAAAGGGGAATCACATACCGTACAAGTCATGTATTCACAATATAGTAAGCTTTGTTGGAAATTTCTAATAATAACCAACATGTCTCTATAATGAAAATTTAGCAAATCAAACACAATAGATATAGAATTTCACCACTTAAACATGTTTTCTCATACAACATCAATTAATTCATATAATTGCATGCTTTAATTCAAATGAAAAATTCTAGAAATATATCTCAAGCTTTCTAATCACAAAATTCATCACTTATAACACAACAGGCATGAAAACATCTTCATTTAAACATAGTTATTCATCACATATCAACTTAGCATGCAAATACATCTCATATACAACACATAGCAAATTTTACATGAAATATATACAAAATTAATCATGTAATAACACAAATTAGGAGGATTTGACTCACAAAAATCCAAGAGATTATGGATTAGAAGCCCCTACCTTGTAAAAGAACTTTTTCTCACCAGATCACCAAAGCTTCAAGCTCCAAAACCTCCTCTGCAACTCTCGGGTCTCTTTGTGCACTCCTCAGTCTCGGCCTTCTCTTTATTTCTCAACTCTCAGCTCACTCTCTGTCTCTCTCTCTAAATCTTCTCTAATTTTCTCTTTCTCTCAGTATTCATTTAGTGCACAACACTACTCAATATATAATGGCAATCCCACCGACATAAAAACTGCTCACTATACCAAAAAATCAGACCAACTCCACGTGCAGCCCACAGATTTTTGGCCAAACAAATCAGTTAATGGGTCCCGCCACCTATTCCTTTATTTTCCATCTCGGTCAGTGTGATACCCCTCGGTTCCAGTGTGAACAAATTGACAAAAAACTTAAACTACACACAACAGCTTATGCAAGAATAAGTTTGAACGTTAAAAAAACACACAACAGATTACCGAAAACATCTAGCATGCATAAAGTCCATTTTTAAACGTTTAATTAAGTTCCTGGAGTCTATATAAGATGCACAGAACACAAGTTTACAGTAGAGGAATAAACTGAAACTTGCCTTTAGGTTTCGGTTTGAAACTTTTCAACACCGTTGCTAAATTCTCCAATGAACTGTAGGCTACTTGCAACTGCAACTCTCCTACGGTTCCAGTTCTATCTCACCCTCAACCTCTTCCTTCCTCTGTGGTACACCCTCAGTCCATAGTTGAAAGCTTAATTGATTCGCCCAGTTCTCCCTCTGTGTTTTCCCTTCCAACCCTCTCTGTTTTCCCTCTCAATACACTTTTACGTGAAAAAGGATTTGTCTCAACCCTAGCAGACTTATAAGAATATATATATAGCCGTCCCAGGTTTAATTAAAACCTAACCTAAGTTGGCATCCAAACCATATAAAAATAAAATCCTAATCCTATATTAAATACAAGACCAAATAAAACAATTAATGTAGACAACTAACCAAATAAGTCATATAAAATGCACGTCATTTATCATCAACTAATTAAATTAAAAAAAAATCTCAATTCCACAATTAAATTAAATACACACAAATAGTAATAAATCAATTAGGCAAATAAAACAATTAAGCTAAATAAATAACAAATAAGTTCAATTATTAAATAAATAAAAAAATGAAATACAAATCAAAATTGAAAAATTAAATTCCCATTCCCATTTTATCCTTTTGAAAACTAGGGGTATTACATTCTTCCCCCCTAACAAAAGGAATTCCGTCCTCGGAATTCACGAAAATCTGAATTAATGTCTTTGCAAAATTCATTTCCGTTTTTGTGTGGCACAGCCCCTTTAGATGAGCGCCACCCAAATTCCAACACATCCAACCATATACAAAGTTCATATGTTTAAGAAATAGCATAAATGTGCAACTCCCAGATTGTATCTAGCAACGATCCAATCTTACCCAATATTTAATGAAGGGTAACCATCCCTCGTCCTTCCAATTCCATAGAACTAACATATAAAAGTCTTATGCATCCAGTGCTTAACAAGTTGGTAACGCTAAACAATAGGCTACTGCCGAAACCAATAACCAGAACCCGTGAAGAGTCAGTGCAATACATAAAACTGACTTTCCTCCAAAACACAATGCTTCCGATACGGAAGACCACTCAAACAACTCTTCCCTAATAGAAAACTCCCATGTACGAGTTCAACTATCTACAAAATCCGACTGTCGCCTCCAAACTGTGAGTACTCATTACCAAAAGAGAGCATGGTTCTCCAATATATCCTTACATAAAGTCAAGGTCTTATTAGATAACCTCGCTTCCATGCCGGACTAACCAGTGAAAGATCGGCACAACCCGACTATCTAAAATCCCAAACATTGTCGCACTAACCTCCTTGTGCCAACAATAGCACAGATAATATCTGAAACGGTAAGTAACGCTTTCAATTACCCATACCATCCTAGGATATATATTCTAAGCATATTTTCCATGATTAAATAGAATATCGCGATCCAATTTCCCGTCTAGAGATGCGAAGCATAGTTGTTGCTCCAACACCTTCAGAAAGCTCCTTTGACATAGCACTGGTTATCTTCCATATTGAATAACCACATGCTATAACTCCGTTATCAGCGCAATGTACAACTGATAAGAAACGCCAAAGTAAACTCCACTAAAGTGTAGTCCACAACCGAACTTGCTCTATCCACTACTCTTAAACCATATGGAATTAAAATTCCAACAAATGTCAGTAATTTCTACCAACCATCCCCTCCTGATTAGTCCTACTCCCATTTCGACATAAGAAAGGACTAAAACCTCCAGTGATATCCAAGTATCAATTTTTCACCTTACTAACAGATGATACTCTTAGAGACAGTTATGGATATGTCCCTATCCGTACCGCACCAAAACTAACATTGTATGTCGGGATGCAAACCATAACCAGTTGACTGCACCGTAAAATTTATGAATTTTACAGCTCAGTCACTCCGACCTTCGTAGAAACAGAAAGATAACTACTAATCTTCCTTCAGTACCTTAAACTCATCTGAGTAAGGTACTACCTCCTGTGGGGTCAGCTCAAATATTCTAAGTTGACCATTTCCATTTCCCTGGTAACAGCAGGTGTTATAATTTCCACATGTTAAACCACAACGGATTGCGCAATAACCACCGAAGGTTCAATTACCATACCGGTTGATAAGATCATCCTCTTCCCTATTACTTCCACCAGACATAACTTAACGCAAAGTGTGAGTCACACATTTATCCATCTAAGCCGTCTCGTGATCCGCGCTATTCGTAGGAACTGATATCTTACTAGTTCCCAAAATAGACAAAATGAAACTGATTTAATTTTATCAGTCAACGATCTCCTAACTAGAATCCTGACCCTTGTGTAGAATCAGTAATTTCTTATCTAGATCCGTAGAAACTACTCTGTCAGTCCCGCTCTAGCATGAGAAGTGGCCGCAAGGATCTAATGATCTCAGACGGTCCATCTAGATTATTTACCAAACATCAGACTTTGAGACAAATATTAGATGTTCGGTCTCATCTTCAAGTCTTTGACATCTTACTTTTTTAACACAAGTAAGTGTTTATTAGACATCCCGTTTAACTGCAACCGTATATGGAAATCTTTTCATCCTCCAAATAGTCAAAAATTTCCGAGCAACAACTACTTGTTGCGAACGGTAACCTAAAAAAAAAAAAATTTCCATATTATTTGTGCAAATGAGTGACTCTGCCTCCTCCTTGATATGCATCGCCAGCACCTCCTCTTAATGACACTCCCTGATGAAAATAAAATTCTTGATTAAGAATTGACTGATCACTAGTAAATTCAACTACTATCCTCAGTCGGTGTCATTCCAACAAGTACTTAAACCAGTACCAAAATCCTCTTACTGACTTAGGAACACCTGTTTAAAATTTTCCTAGAAGATATTCAGCCAAGCCAGTTCCTTCGATAAACCAGCATGACGTTACAGCTTATCCAATGAATCTATATCATTTGACTCAAAACTGCTGGTTTTTCTTATCCCATCCTGAACACATACTACAACCACGCACGTCTAGGTTCATTTGATTGACTAAAGTTAGATATACTAACCAAATCCTATGATCACATGCCTAAAATCCTAGTGTAA